TGTCAAATGTATACAGCCACCCTATTTCTGTCAGGGATATTAAACAGTTCAGGCAGTTCTTTCAGATCTATACGTTCTCCACCTCCCCCTTCCGAATTTAAATTACTGTTTTACATGTCCTCGTGGCATGGAATAAACATCAAATTAGCCAGAACACAAAACTGATTTTTAATATGATTCTCTTTTGCTCGAAGGGCTGGTAGTAAATGTAAACACATCAGCAGAAAAGAGAGAGAGGAAATGCTTCATTGCAATTTATGAAAATATTTTATGCCTTGCCGTTGTGTAGTTCCAGAAATGTTTTGCTGCTCAGTTATGTGTTCTTCAGGCAATGCAGTGCAGGGCAAGCAAATAGGGCATCTCTTTGGAGAATGCAACATATAATTTTGCTGAAAAACCAAGGCTTCTGCTGAGATGGAATTGTTTTGCCACGTAAACCGCAGAAAAGAAGGACAGCATCATGATAGGGTACATGTGTGTGTATATAAAGATCAGATGCCTACAAAGAGTTTGTTGAAAGGGGGCAACTTCTAATAATGCCAATTTAGATGTGAGAAGTGTTCCCCATTCAGGCTGCACTCAGCTATGTGGAAGAAACGTACTGAGGATTTTTTTTTTTAAATTGAGAAAACGGTGAATTCCTAATAGGGTTGGACTAGATGACCCTTAATGTATCTTCTAACTTTTTGATTGCATTCACTTATTACCTTGAGATGTAACGTGGTTGATTATTTTTGGATTAATGTTGGCCAGGCGAGTTGTGAATTGTAGACTATTGGTTTATTTATTAAATTTGTTTTGTCGCCTGTCTCACCAAAAGGCCATGAATGGTGGCTTGATAGAGTGAGCCAATCCAATTGATAGTGGTTACCGAATAATGGCTTAAAAGCATGTGGGAAGGCAGTTTATCACTTAATAAGGAAAGACAGTCAACTGAGTAAGAGAAACTAGTTAAATGAAGCCACATGATATAATCCTGTTTCTGAGCCTCTGCAATCATGATCAAATAAGATGTCTTATGAAGTTCATATCACGAAGCTGGAGAAATTGAAGTGAACTGTAGATAAATGAACAAACTATGCTGAAATCTAATAATAATATCTAAGATTGTTATTGAAGGATCTAAAAAAATTGTTACCTTTTAATATAGGTTTTGGCAAATGGTGGCTGTTGGTAAATATTCAGTGAAAAGTGTTTTCATCAGACTGGGAAAAAAAAGTGTCCCCCACCTTAGTAAATAATTTGCCTGAGCAAATAAATTTTAACCCTCAGTTTGTACCGTAACTCTCTCCACTATGATAATCTACTCTGTAAATAGGACAGTTTATCAAAGATGGTCTCTGTCTATCTTTTTTTGAAGATTAAGAGCGTGATTGATTGAAAGCTCGGATTTTTGCTTCTACATATCACGAGCCAACCAGGGGCCAAACAGACATTGAAAAAGGCCTGTTTTCATGGTCCTTTGAGTGATAACACTTTCTCAGAGTGGGGATTCAAAGGGAGCTTGTCCTTACAGACCTTTTTGAATGAACAGAGACCAAGCATCCTCTAGTCCTGAATCATGAAAGGCTTTAAAGGTGACAACTAATACCTTAAATCAGGCCCAAAAGTCAACCTGTAACCAATATAGTCCCCAAACTAGAGGTGCTATCCAGGAAAAATGAAACACGCTCTTTCAGCCCCTGCATTCTGGACCAACTATAGTTACTAAATACTGGCAGTCCTTAATTTATGACCATAATTGGGACTGGAAATTCCATTCCTAAGTAAGGTAGTTGTTTATTTTATTTATTTAATTTCTATGATGCCCATCTCACCCTTCAAAACAACTCTGGGCAGCTTAACAGTGAAAGCTTAAATATAAAAGCAATTAAAAATTGTACGAATGAAATACAGACTAAAACACAGAGGCTCGAGTGGTGCAGTAGTTAAGCGAGTCTTGCCTCATTTTATGACTTCTGCCATGGTTGTTAAATGAACCACCACAATCATTAAGTGAAGCATGCAGTCATTAAACAAATCCAGCTTCCCCTATTGATTTTGCTTGTCGGAAGCTGGCTGGGAAGGTTGCAAGTAGTGATCACGTGACTCTGGGATATTGCAACTGACATAAATCTGTGCCAGTTCCCAAGGCCCCAAATTTTGATTGGTAACTCTAGGGACACTATGACAATCATAAGTCACTTTTTTCAGTGTTGCTGTAACTTCAAACAGTTGTGAAACAAGTGATCGAAAATCGAGGACTATCTATAGTCTTCAAGGACAGCCCCATAAGCAAGTCTTCCATCCAGAGTACAACTATCCAATTACAATCCTTTACTTTCAACCCTTGTGGCCTTGTAAATCAGATTGGTGCCAGTAGCAATTAAATGTTTTGTTAGTGCAGATTTTGTCCCAGATATAGTTCAGGAGGAGCCAGCAACTTCTAAAAATGACATCTCTGAATAGCAAACTGAGCCTGGAGAATGAAACATGCATCTTATCACAAATGCTAAGGACTCGTTTTCATCTTAGATTGTGCACACTTAGTTGGGTTCAGAACAGACCCTTATGAATTGATGGACCCTTCCGTTAGCCACTGTAGACTTAAATCCTGTTGATTGCAATGAGCCTACTTGAAGCATGGTTGCATCTGGACCCAATATAGATCCCTACATATATCATTTTGACCTTTTTCTCTCTTGGCCAAATATAAAGCATTCAGCTCTGCACATTTAAAACATAGGAAATTCAATCCAGGTCAGCATCACAGACCTTCATTCTTCTCCTGAGGTCTCATTAAGTGAAGCACTGCTTCACTTCTCAGCACCAACAACACACCTTAACCTTCCAGCTGTGTACTTTACAGAGGTTACACTTCAAAGCTGGGACCTGTAAACCACCTGGAGGATGGGGAACTGCAACTGCAACTCCCAGCAGTACCAACAGCTACCTGCTCAATGAGGAGAGGCATTGCAAGTTGTATCTATGGAGACTCTCAGCCATCCAGGTCATAGTTGTTCCAAAGGTGTTTTGTTTTTTTTTAAAGGCAACTGGACTTTGTTTTTCATAGAAAAAACAAAGTCCAGTTGCCTTTTTTAAATGAAAGCACCTTTGGGACATTGGGAGTTGTAGTTAAAACTGATGAAGCTTCTTGGATGAGAAGCAAAACATCTTCTTCTTCCTCAAATAATAAACAGTCCAGTTGCCTTTTGGAAAAAAAAAAGCACTTTTGAGACAACTATGACTTGGGTGACTGAGAATCTCCATCGACATTGAGAATTGTAGTTCAGGGACCCTTGCAAGGTCCCAGATTCGACCTCTGGGTCTGTAGTGTAGCCCTAATCACGCCTGGTGTCAAAAGTGGCCAGCTGTTGGTGTCAAAAGTGGCGTGGCACTTCTTTAATCAGAAGAAGGCAGCTGTCTTGCACAGAGAATACAAATCTCTGCTCCCACATCTGGAAGGAGGGCTCAGTGGAAGAGTGGAGCACTGTCGTTCTGCCTTCAAGTGCTTTGGAGAATAGGTCGACCCCCCCCCCACTTCTTTGTGGAAGCCCCTCAGATATCGGAAGACTGCTATCTTCCCATAGCATGGATGATGTTACCTAGTTTGGGTAATGAAACGCCTGCAAGAAAACAAGCAAGCTCGGAGACCACCAAGGACCCCTCACCTCAACCTTGAGCTACAAATATTCTCCTTTACTAGTAAGACCGCTATCAGAATCAGAACAGAGCTGGAAGGGGACCTTGGAGGTCTTCTAGTCCAGGGCTTTTCAACCAGTGGTACGGGTACCACCTGTGGTACATTGACACATGGCAGGTGGTACGCGACTGTTGTGTCCTGTGCCTGCAGAAGCAGGCGCGGGAAGTTGCAAGAGTCCCGGGCATTTGCAAATGCTGCCCGGGACCAGACTGACTGGCGCCGGCCTTGCGCGCATGCGCAAGGTGGGAAAGGACTACCTTGTGACTGGGGGGAATTGCCCGGGGATCGGAGAGTATAAATAGAGGCTTGCGCGCCTCTGGGGTTTGTCGTTGTTCGTAGAATGGAGCAAACAATAAAGACTTGTTGGAGATGCTTCGCCTCAAGCGTCATTATTCCCAGGACTTAACAGCAACCATCCTAGAAAAGCAGCAGGGGAGGGGAATGAGCTGAAGCGGTGGCACTAATCCTCAACAGAAATGCTCACAACAATGAAAACCTCAGACAGGAGGAAGAGCGCGGCCGGGCGGGCAGGCAGGCGTCTTGCTCGGCTGTGGCTTGGGGGGCACTTTTTTCAGTGCCATTGTGACTTCGAACAGTCACTAAGCGAACTGTTGTAAGTCGAGGACTACCTGTACTTTATCACTTTTTTCCTTTTTTGGGGGGGAGTGTCATCAAGTTTGGGACACCTTGCTAGGCGACTGGTGGTCCTCGGATGTTGCCATATCCTAAAAGTGGTACAATGGGTGAAAAGGTTGAAAAGCCCTGTATCTAGTCCAGCCCCCTGCTCAAGCAGGAGACCCTCTACCCTGTCAGACAAGCGGCTGCCCAGTCTTTTCTATCATACCACCCCTAGTCCTTGTGGGTCCGCTCCGAGCCGAAGCGTGGCTCTCGCCTTCCCCCGTTAAGTCCGCCGCTGGCTGGCTGGCTGGCTGGCTGGCTGGCTCGCTCGCTCCCGCCTTTCATCGCCGCCGCTCGGAGGAGGCAGCGATGGGAGTGCGCGCGCACAGCCTCGGCGCCCTCTCGCAATCCCGCTTACGTTGGCGCGCGAAGGGTCCGGACGGTCATGGCATCGGCGGCCCCTCGCGGCGCGGCCCGGACGGGAGCCCCGAAACGGGTGCGTGCGTGCGTGCGTGCGCGTCGGGGAGGGGAGGGGGGGGCCGTCGGCGGCGTCGTCGGAGGGGGGGGGAGGCGGGCGATGCCTGCGGCTTCGGGCCCTGGCGCGCTGCGATTTGTGAAGCGGGGCGTGATGAACCCTCCCCCTGGACAAATCAGAGGGAGGCGGTCAGCCTCCCCCAGGTGGCTTCAGTGGTCTAGCTGATAGCCTGTGCAAACAGAGCGCCGCGCTCGGTTTCCTGCCCGAGGAAGCTCCCCGGCCAGGCAGCTGGAGGAGGAGGAGGATGGCCAAGTCGACCGGGTTGCGGCTCTATCAGGTAGGAGCCGCTGGGTTTTGGGTGGCCCGGGATGGCCAAAGCGCCGCTGCCCCAAGAAGAGGGGATCGGGAGCCCCCCATCCCACCCTTCCCAACGCCCCCCACCCCCGATGCGAGGCAAGAAGCGGGGTTTGGACCCTGGAACTCCAGGCTGGGGGCGGATGAAATCTGTCCCCGCTTAGTGTGACTTTTACTCTTTCTGCAAGGAGACGGGATGACCCGTCGGAACAACTGTTTTCTGCTGCAAAAATCCTAGAAATGTCCTTAACAAAAAAAGAAAAGGAGAAAAAAAAAAGGAGAAGACCTGGAAGCTTGCTTCGTTTTTATTAACTTCTCTTTCTTTCTCTCTCTCTCTCTGGCTTTCTCTCTCTCTTTTTTTCTCCCACAGGTAACCTTGCTCGGTTTGGTTTTGGGCATGAACGTCTGTGCTGGATTTACAGCTCATCGTTTCAGAAGATCTGGTGAATTTGGGGAGGAGGGTCCGGACTCAGGTATAACGTGTGGATTCAAGGGTCCGTTTCTGCAGCCCTTCGGGAGGGGGGAGGCTGGGGGGGGGGGGAAACAGTGGGTCCTAAAATGTAGCTTTTTGTCTTTTTCTTTCCGACGCCCCCCCCCCCCAATATGTCAAAGGTTGTGTGAAAAAGCTTGCGTTGGTTGACCTTCAGAACATGCTTATAGGTAACCTATTTACTTCTCTCTGTGGAAGAGAGATTGAGACAGACATATTCCACTTAAGTGCTGAGGCTGATGTGAGGTGCCTGTGTTTGTTTGTGTGCACAACATGATTCTTGGGATCTAAAAAAAAATAAATCTAATGGATCATATTTGGGTGGAGGCAGTTCCCCGCCCCCCATCCCTGAACTAATGTGAGCAATTCTTGTTCTGTTGGATTAGTTTGTTTCCAGGTAGAGGTTTCTTATTATCTGCTTGATAGTCCCGTTCTGCAAAGTAGAAATGAGGAAGTATGAAAAGAGAGGGGGGGGGGGAGTTAGGAGGACGGAGAAAAGCAGGTGTTTCGTTTTGGAAGTTCTGGGCAGCAGATGTTCTCCTTTAAAGTTGGGTTCCCTTAATTTCAGGGGGAATGCAGGCTAGCCGAGACTGCTGCACTCCCTCACACATCTGTCAAAATGCGTATTCAACATCTCCGATCTGTTTAAAAAACAGAGGAAGGGAAGGGTTACAGTATTTTTATACAACTTCTAATTTGACTATGGAGTGACCTTCCATTCTTTCTGATGGACAGTGTGTTCCTTGAAACAGCTTTTAAAATCGTGATGGAGTTATTGTTTACTCCTTATAAATAAATAAATACATTTATCATGTATATATTTACCATTTATCACTGGTGATTGTACACGAGAAGCAAATGTACATCCGTTCACAAAAGCCCGAATTACATAAATTGGCACCAAGCAGCGCAATAGTGATGCTAGTCTTGAAAATATATACAGATGTAACTTGGGCACGCCAAAGTCTCAGTTCATCTGTCAGCCTCCTTCCAATACAGTAATGCTCTGGAACTTTCCATTTCTTCCCTTTTATTTGGCCCTAATTTTGAAAGATATTTCTGTGAGCTTGGCTAAAACGCTCTTGGCAACTTGTCTCCTTGGTCTAAGAAAGAATCTTGTGGCACATTTCTGTTTGTACCGATCAGCGGTTTTCAGATGTATTGGTATTCCTGACTCATACGGTAGTTTTTGCTCTGATATAAAAGGAAGAGAAGAAGTTGGCTTTAATACAATCTTCTCCAAGTCGGAGCCCTCCAGATGTGTTGGCTTCCAGCTCTGTTTTTTTTCTTCTTTTTTCCCAAGACAGCATGGCTAACGCTGCACTAGCTGGTGGGGGAGTGATCGCCCAAGGCTTCAAAAGAGGCACCAAATGGGGGAAATTGAATTAAAATCTTAGAAACAACACATTCATCTACAGAACTGGTAACAGAACAGAATAACAGAGTTGGAAGGGACCTTGGAGGTGTTCTAGTCCAGCCCGCTTGCTGAAGCAGGAGACCCTATACCATTTCAGACAGTGGGTATTCCTAAAAATCAGAGCATCAAAATCTTTTTGGGGAAATGTAAAAGCCAATCCTGGCTCCTTTTGGGATGACAACTGAAGGAGCTGTTGGTAATGCAGTAAAAACAGCTTGATCGGCTAAATATCCTTAAGAATAGATGTGAGGGACCTGCAAAATTTGCTCTGCTTATGCCATAGTATCCCCTTTGTTTACAGTGAACAAAGCCTGTTTGCAATGGAGAAGTAAACTGTAGCCAACTTGCTGGTTCTATTATGATGATATCTCTCTCTCTCTCTCTCTCTCTCTCTCCCTCCCTCCCTCCCTCCCTCCCTCCCTCCCTCCCTCCCTCCCTCTCTCTCTGCATGCACTATCCTTGCCAAAGTTGTTTCTAATGTATCAAAGTAATGGAAACAGGATGTACAGAATGTGAGATCAGAAAGCCTTGCGTTCGGTATCACAAATGGGAGAGCTGGACAATTGTCTACGAAAAGAAGGGAGTGTTGTTACAGTATGCTGGATAAGTTAGGTTTAACTAGTAACAAATGCCAGATCAAAGGATCTGTCTTAGGCTTTGATAAGCACACATGATTCCTATTATTAGCAATGGTGGCTGCAGATGGAGCAGTCTCTCAGAGAAGGCAGCCTGGATGTTTGAGACAGGGGCCTTTTTACATCCCTGTAGAGTTTGGCTTGTATGCGAAAGATGAAACGCAACGAAAACTTGTGCAAGATGACAGACTGGGTCGACGAAAGATTCATTGCACCTTTTACAAAAGAGGTAGACAACGACCTCTAGCGAACGTTATAGGAACGTCCACGACCACCGTCATAAACGTTTAAGGTTTGTATACCGACCTAAATAATTTAGTCGGGTCGATGGTACTTCCTTAACATTGACTGAAGGAAGTCTCTTCCACGCTGACTTCTGAATTAAAACTCTCTTTCGGGAGATGCTGCTTTTAGATAAGTGATGGCTGCATTGGATCACGATGTTTAGGATCCAGAGTGGCCCACCTCTTAGCTCAGTGTAAACCATGTGGTTTAAAGCTTGCACAGAATACACCTAAGTTAGCCCTCTTTTGGTTTTAATTTGCTTATCTAGCATTTATCTGATTGAGTAATAGCAATAGCACTTAGACTTATATACCGCTTCACAATGCTTTACAGCCCTGTCTAAGCGGTTTACAGAATCAGCATGTTGCCCCCAACAATCTGGATCCTCATTTTACCGTCCTCGGAAGGATGGACGGCTGAGCTGAGTCAACCTTGAGCTGGTCAGGATCGAACTGCTGGCAGTCGGCAGAATTAGCCTGCAATACTGCATTCTAACCACTGCGCCACCACAACTGAGGGGTCCTTGGTGCTCTCTGAGCTTGGTGGTTTTAACAGAACAGAGTAACAGAGTTGGAAGGGGCCTTGGAGGTCTTCTAGTCCAGCCACCTGCTCAGACAGGAAATCCTATACCATTTCAAACAAATGATTGTCCAATCTCTTCTTGCAGATGTTTCATTACCCAAGCTAGGTAATATCATCAGCACTAGTGAGAGAGCACCAAGACCTCTCATTTCAACCCTGAGCTATAAATACTGTCCTTTATTGATTTATCTGACTTCTTTTGACCTGTTCATGAAATGAATAGCTTCCATTGTGATTTCTTTGAAACCTAACCGTAAGGCTTACATTAACAGAGTAGCTTCTCTTACACTTGGGAAAGAAAACCTTTAGCCTACATGGAGATACTCTGCTCACTGCAACATTGCATTGTCATTACTGACACTGGACCTTTGCTTTGCAATGTCATGTATTGTGTCCTTGATGCGTTTTTGTAGAACACGAGTTGGAAACTGCTGATCTATATTTCTGAAAAGCCACAGCCCAGTTTTGTCCTTGATTTCCCTCTGTCCTTTTACAGGGCATCACTACTCAGCAGTATTCCTATTATAAATGTTTGTGTAGCATTACAGAAGTTGCTTCCTATTCAAGCAAAGCAAATAGGTAACACACAATCATCTTAGGTGGCTGATTTGAGAACAAGTCTCAGTTCAAATCAAATCTTTATTACGGTCATAGACTAGCACAGGAGAATAAATCTGTTTTTATACAAGATTATTGTATTCTACTGGTTTATATATTCTTAAGCAGGATTCTTTCTCGATTTTTTTAAAAATTGGGACTGAATCCAGAACCTTCCACATATTTGTGGCCTGTCATTAACTGGGGCCCCTCTTGCCATCTGCCATTAAAAGGTGTTTTTTTAAAAAATAAATAAATAAATCACTTCTATTACCATAGATGAAATTAGAAGGAATAACAGAATAAGCACAATTGGAAATTTCTGCTTTTTGATAGAATTTCCATTTAGGCTGTGTTCTGAAAGATTGACAGGCCACAACGTGAATGTCTGGACTTATGGTCTAGAGAGCTGGAGCAGCTAAGAACATTTCTATTGTAAATGAATTAATTAAAAAGAATATCCTGTTTTTAATGGAAATGCTGTTGCCTGCTCTAGCTTGTCTGCAATATGAAAACAAGTTTTGGTCATCCAGTTTTGGTCACCATAATGTAAAAAAGATGTTGAGACTACAGAGAAGAGCAACAAAGATGATTAGGGGACTGGAGACTAAAACATATAAGGAACGGTTGCTGGAATTGGGTATGTCTAGTCTAATGAAGAGAAGGACAAGGGGTGACATGATAGCAGTGTTCCAATATCTCAGGGGCTGCCCCAAAGAAGAGGCAGTCAAGCTATTCTCCAAAGTGCCTGAAGGCAGGACAAGAAGCAACGGATAGAAATTAAACAAAGAGAGAAGCAACCTAGAACTAAGGAGAAACTTCCAGACAGTTAGAACAATTAAACAGTGGAACAACCTGCCTCCAGAAGCGGTGAATGCTCCAACACTGGAAGTTTTTAAGAAGAGACTAGCTAACCATTTGTCTGAAATGGTATAGGGTTTCCTGCCTGAGCAGGGGGTTGGACTAGATGACCTCAAAGGTCCCTTCCAATTATTATTTATTATTTATTATTTATTATTTATTATTTATTATTTATTATTTATTATTTATTATTTATTATTTATTATTTATTATTTATTATTTATTATTTATTATTTATTATTTATTATTTATTATTTATTATTTATTATTTCCATATCAAGAACAGCAGTTATTGTTTGAATCTTACATAGTAAACAAAATTTCTATGCTTTTCCTCAAGGTCACAGCTCTACTCCACTCCCGTGTTATACCAGCAGCAAAGAGATGCTTTGATTTTAGAGTTCATGGATCCGTGCAGGACAGACTGACCATCTCAATATCTTGAGAAGTACCAATAGAATGACAATCATTAGCTTGAAAGGCAACCCCCTAACTTATAATCTTGTCATAGGTTGTTCTAGTGCATCTCTTTTATTTAATTTTTGTAAAATTAAACAGGTGATAAAAACGTGGCCTCTGCTGAACCATGCTCAGTTGTAATGCGTG